TTGGGAAGGAGAACGGGTCAAAGATTTTGTTAAAATTATTGGCATGAAGGGTTTAGAGAGTTCGGAAGGAGAAGGGGTCAAAGATTTTGTTTAAAGACTTGGGATGAAGGGTTCAAAGAATTGGGGAAGGAGAACGGGTTAAAGATCTTGTTTAAAAATTTGGGATTAAGGGTTTAAAGAGATTGATTCGATTTGGGTTTTTTTGTTAGTTTTGATGGTACGTTTTGTAAAAGTGTAAGGTTAAAATGGGGTTGTTCTCGGTTTTTTTTTTTTTTCCATTTTTGTAGGTCTTTGTTTGAATTGCGGGCTAGGAATTTGGGAGTATGTGCTTTTGAGACGTTCTTGGATTGTTGAATTTTTTGTCTTTTATTAGTTTATTTTATCTCGCCTCGGATCGATTTTCGTGTAGATTTTTCTCACTTTTATTTCTGTTTTTCCGTAGGATTTTAAGAATTGAAAGCGCTTATTGTTCGTTGATACACCTAGCTTACGAGTGAAAAGGATACGAAACGTCTTTTATTGTAATCGTCCGGAGGTAACTAATGTATACGTAATTAGATTTGAAATTTGAAAATCTATAATGAATTAATTGACAATGTTGAGAAACTTTTGGTATTATACGGTTATGAGATAGAAGTTAATATTATATTGATATTGAATTTATATATATTGAATTATATAAATATATTGATAATTGTTTTTAATGAAATTATTATTATTTGATCGATTAATTGCTTAATTAATTAATTACATTATTTCTATTGTTTTGATTAAAAAATTAAAAAGGTAAAGACGTAAAACATGTAATGTATTGCCAATATTCCATGGTTTTATTGAAAAATTGATATACTAACCAATTGAAATTATAGACTATATAAATGATATGAATGGACGAATATATATTCTATGATTGATTGATGCTTTGCTTTTGCTCGTTGGGTAGTTGGTTTATGGATGAGAGTATGGCAAAGGTTGCAAGTGGTCGGTTGGTTATTCTGTATTAACGTTTTATCCTGCTAGAGCCCCAGCACCAAAGGCAATGGTAGCCCCGTGAGCTTCGCGCGCACTGGGTGTTTTAGGCGGGATGAATCGGGAAGGAACTCGCGGTTGGTCACTGGGTAAAAAGCCGCATGATCCGTGGAGGCTTGTATGGACCTCTTTCCTGGCAGCGCCTTTGTCGATGCGCTTTCATGGCCTGAACGCCCTCGTTGAAAGTGTTGCAAGCCACGCCCAGGATAGAGAGTGCCCACCATGGCCGTCTATACTTGTTAAAGCAGTGAAGGTGTATAAGTCCAAGGTCGAGTGGGCTTGTTCTTTCTTTTCAGGATTGCCTTTCCACCACTCTCTGTAGCCAGGCGAATATTCTCATCCATGGCGGTTGGCTTGTTGGTGGCTGCGCTTTTGCTTGTGTTGTGCCTTTCTGGCTTCTGTTGTGATGTGGTGTGTTTGTTGTTGTTGCTGTTGTTGTTGTGGTGGTGGTGGTGGTGGTCCTGGTGGTGGGGGTCGTGGTGGTGGTGGTGCTGGTGGTTGTTTTGGTGGTGCTGGCGGTGATGGTGGTGGTCTTGGTGGTGGTGGTGGTCTTGGTGGTGGTGGTGGTCTTGGTGGTGGT